TGACAATTTCTTATATATAACTCTACCAAAATGCCTTTTGGTTTATTCCAAAAATGCCTTTATTTTATTTTACTAAATGACTCTGGGCAACTTATCAGTAAAAGCCAGTATAAGCAAAATGCAGTTGAGCAGAAAAGCAAAAGTAACAAACCAAAAACAAAACAAATCAACAGATCAACAAGGAAAGAGAAACCTATACTATATGACCACTTAGGTGGAAGAAAAGGCGAACAGAAGATGACAGACTATTAAAAGAATGAAGAGCTGGTGAGAATGAAGAGTTTGCAGTAATTCTTCACTGATGAGGAGAGGACTTGAGGTTATCCATACGTACTCCAGACACTTGCTACTGAAAATGGCAACATAGTAATCTCTGGAAGGCTTAGAGCTTTAGGAAATGAGGGAATAACCATCTTGCTAAAATCACATTTGGTGCCCTCAAAAGAGATACTGGGTTTGCATACTTCCTTTTCTAATCACTTTCTAAATATTGCTTGTTAACTGCTATTAGGAAGCTTTGGATCAACTTGCCTTACAGCAGCAGATGAGTGTCCTTCAACCCTTAGTGAAAGAAATTTTAAATACAAGTTTATGGATTTTTTAAAAAAAATACTTTGGAATGAACAGCAAAGGGGTGATTAGAATTTTGATTTTGGAAAGTTACAAATGGAGTGAGGGTCCAGATGGATTTGAAATAACATTTTGCAATTAATTATAGGAATCCTTCCCACCTGCCACCTTGAGCCGAGGTGGCGCAGTGGTTAGAGTGCAGTACTGCAGCTACTTCAGCTGACTGCTAGTTCAGCAGATCAGCGGATCAAATCTTAACGGCTCAAGGTTGACTCAGCCTTCCATCCTTCTGAGGTGGGTAAAATGAGGACCCAGATTGTTAGGGGGCAATATGCTATTTAGTATACTGTCTTTGGTGTAAGCCGCCCAGAGTCTTCGGAGAATGGGCGGCATAGAAATATGACTAATAATAATAATAATAATAAAAATAATAGGAAAATATTGTTGTTTTGAATTCTCTAAAAAACATGAAATTTTGAAGGTTGGATACTAAGGTAATTCTTAACTTACAAATCACAAATGGGACTGAAACTTCCATCACTAATTGTGCCCAATTTTACCACCTTTTTTGCTGGGGTTATAAGTGAACCACCATGGTTGTTAAGCAACTCCTGCAGTCGTTAAGCAAATCTGTCTCTTCCCATTGACTTGTTGGAAGCTCTGGTGAAGTCGGAAATGCAAATCATATGACATCATGATGCTACAACCATCGTACATACATGCCAGTTACCAAATTTTGATCATGTGACCACATGGATGCTACAAGTCATAAATGTGAGGACCAGTCATTAAGTCACTTTTTAAAGCACCATCATTACTTTTAATGTTCTTTAAATGAATGGTTGTAAGTGGAGAGAACTAGAAGGAATTAAAGATTACAATTTAATACTGAAATGCTGAATACTGAAATTTGACTAAATGCGACCAATGAAAAAGGAGGTAAAATATTATAAAATTAGACATAGAAAGATACCTTTGAACAATGACCTCAGAAGTTAATTTTAAGAAGGTCTGGCTCTAAAGAGAGATTATGACAAGATTGAGACTGTTCTGAAAGTGGATTTTAAAATGACAGGTTACAAGAATTACATAAGAAAAGATGCTATATTTAATATATAAATGAAACCAACTGATGTCTTAATAATTAAAAGGGATATACAAATAACAAACCAAGATGGTGACCTAGATAATTTTATCTGATTTACAAAAGAGACTTGCTCTGAAGAATGCTATGATAAGGGACAAAGACAAAAATGAAATCAAATTCTAGGCTATTACTTAAACAGTAATAGATCAAGATTGTTAATAGTAAAGGGAAGAATGATGAAGTTGGTTTATTTGATCAAGGTTAAAATAGATATATTATCTCTAGTAAACTTTAATGGACTTTTGCTGTTCAGGACTGAACAAGGTGGTTTCAAGGATTTGTTCATAGATAAAAAAGGTGATATGGGAAGAAGACATCATTTGTTGTATTTTAAGCGTTAATTAATTGTATTGTAAATAAATGTATAAAATTGTTTATACATTTATTTATTTTCCTTTGCTTCATTTTTATTTTTCCTTTTCTATTTTCCTTTTCTTAACATTATTTTTATTCTAATTTTTTAGTTCATATTAGTTATCTTTAAAAATATAAAAAATAAAAAGGTAAAATTTTGATCAATTATGCAACTATGAGCAATCAATATCTTGATACTATGAAGTACATTTTTAAAAAGTGCAATCGTGATAAACTGTTTGCATGCAAACTTGAGAATGTTTGAACTCTTTTAAATTCCAAATATTTCTTTGTCTTTAACTATTTTTATTTCTTATGTTTTATTTTATAATCTGTCTTGTCAGGGGTGGGTTTCTCAGCAACTGATCATGAACTGAATACATAGCAAGCAGTGTTAGTGGAAGGAATGCAGAGATGACCTGGTCCAGCTCCCTTGCTACCCCTAGGTATGCTGATTTCATACCAGCACTATCAATCAAGTGTCAATTTGCAGCTCTTCTTTTCCCCTTAATGAATTTTTAACAGCAAGAAAAAAGAAGGCAGAAGATGCAGTGGAAAAACATGTAAGTGGAAGATTATAATTTCTTCATCTCCATCCATACAACTACGATATAATTATTGCATCATAAACATTTTGTCTAAAAGTAGAGTATTCATAGATTGCCTTGTACAATCCACAAACAGGGATATGGTAAATATTTTATATTTAACTCTTTCTGTGAAGGTGGCCTTTCTCAGTCCAGAAATTCTGAAATGCACTTAGCAACTACACAAAAACTCACCAGAAAAACACAATTAGTTAAAACTGCCTGATAAATTAATGTATGCCTCTGAATCAATGTATGTATGTTTCTGAAGATTCCTGTTCTATACACATTTTTAATTTCTTAGGGCATTCTGAAAAAAAGTAAAGCCTATAACATTCTTAAGTTTCTCTCAACCTTTCCAGGATCATTAACAAAAATTAATAAACATCGTAATACAATACACGCTCATATGCATCAGTGTTTTGCACAGATCAGTCATAGTGAAATGATTCATGAGCAAACAATGAAAAACAATCCAATAAGGAAGAAAACATTTCTCAACAGTATTCAATATTTTGGAATATATGTAACACGTAGCTGTCCAAGGATATAAAGCAATTGAACTATCAAACGGTCAGTTTTCTCTTCTCTCTCTCTTTTAATAGATCAGCGCTATATGTTATTAAGGTTTGCTTAGCAGGAGTCAAGAGAGCTAAACTAATGCCATGAACTCAAGAATTAAGTTCTACAATTGGCCTTATATTCAATTTCATAAACTTTGAAACAGGGAAACTGTACAACTTTATGCCATGCCCCATTTCAGCTCAAGTAAACTTTGGCACATTTTAAATTAATTAATGGTTGTGTGCATAGGTCCTTCTATGTTGAGCCAAAAAGACAAGGAAACCAAACCCAATAACATTGGATGTCTGGGACAAAGAAGGAAATAGACCATTTTGATAGCATTCTTTTTTCTCCCCAGAAACATCTGGGTACAATGAACTAACTCGTCCTTCTACTTGATTCCATAGGACAAGTCCTGAACACTGACTTTTTTTGGTTACATGAAACAAAAGAAGAAAATAAAGATTTGAAATAGCCAACTAATACATGTTACTGATAAATGTTCCAGGTTCTTCAAACAGTTTAATATAAAAGCAAATATTGATACTTTAAAGACAGCATTCCCCCCTAAGAAATTGCATGTAAATAAGCAAAACAAATACTATTCTGAAGAACAAATTTTAGATACCACCACACACAACTGAGAGTTGATGGATTCACTGAAACACCTTCCTAGGCTACCCATTGGCCATTTTCTTCTCCCAGACTATCTTTTTAACCACCTGTCATTCCGAGAAAATAAAGCACCTTAAATGGTATCTTACCAACTATTAGAAAATTTGTTGCTGTTCTCAAGGTTAATTGCTTTTCTCACTCATTTATAACTAGACTCTATGCAGAGGTTCAAACCATCCACTCCCATGCAAATAGGACAGAATTGCAATTGTAGGAAACTATTTCACAACCTGTTCCACTTAATTCATTCAATCAAGGTACCTTCACAAACCGTTTGGCTAATTGGAACTTCATCTCTGAAACACCTTTTCACTTACCAGTCAAAGTATTCAGCAAAACTACAGTAGTTGGAATCTCCGACACACAAGGTCAGATACTGAGACCGATTTGCTAGTTATCTCCTTTTCAATCTGTGGCCAAGGCAGTTTCACCATTCCAATAAAATTACACGATCCGGTTATCTGAGCTTTTACCACCCACTTAAAAACAATACCCTACTTAATCCCTAAGCACAGCCTCTCACCTGATAATCTGAAAACCACTTTATAATCACGATCGCAAAGCGTTCACCCGTTTTAATTAAGAAGAACCCATTCCAAGTCTCTGCTTTAAGCCTCCCTGAAGGTAAGTTAACTTTTCATGCCTTCCTAAACTACACCTTCTGTGGCAATTTACCCGAAGTCCAATTCCCTTTCAAAAACCGTTCAGCTTTAGAAAGATCCCAGATCTCTCTTGAGTTGGCGGGCCTTCAGTGGAAAAGAGGTCTCACTTTTGAAACACCACAACAATGCTTCCCACACTCGGAAAAACAGCCCACTCCGTTCAAGGAGACTCGCTCCCGAGTTAAGAGCACAGAACCGGAACCTCAAACAAAAAAAATCTACGCCGTCCTCAGGTGAAATCCACTTGGCAAGTGCCTACAGCATTGCCCCACTTCAGGTTATCTTTCTTCCAATTTCTGCTTTCCTCGCATTAGCACTATCGCCCTGAGCCCCCATCCCTCTTTTGCACTTTCTTTCGCAAGGGAGTCTTCGGATCGGAGGGAGGGGATCGGACGAGACAATTAAAAGGGAGCCAAAGCAGCAGCCACCTTACTCACTTACCAGTTGCATGCCACAGATAAAGATCAGCGTGCACCTGCCGCTGCAGTAACCCATGGTTTCCCCGAGCCCTCGCAGCAGCCCCGCAGTCCCACGCAGAGCCCAGCCGTATCCAATCAAATGGTGGGAGAGGCTAAGCCAGCCTGGGCAGGATTCAAGGGGCTCCTATCTGCCGCCGCCGCCGCCGCCGCCGCCATTGCGTCCCGGGAAGGGGCGGACATCAGGATCGCCTTAGCAGCAGCAGCAACAGCAGCAGCCGCCGCGCCAACAATCGCCTTCGGCGCCCTCCCGCCCCTCGTGCAAAGCGGCGCGGGCGGAAATGGTGTCCCGGCATCCAGCAAGCACGGCGGCGTCTCCCAAAGGCATCCGACGGCCTTTGCAAGTTTGTTCGCCAGCCGGGTTCAGCTCTTGATCCATCCAGCCATTCGGGCAGGTGGGAAGGAGAGAAGCGAGAGAGCTCAGCCCCTTCTGTAGTCTGACACACACACTCTCTGTGTGTGTGTGTCTCTCCCGCGTCGGCTCTTTTCTCACGCCCCGCTTAACCAGTAACCCCCCCCCCCTCCTTGTTTTGTTTCGCCTCAAGACAACAGCAAGCCCAAGCCTCTTGTCAGCGCTCGGTCGGGGCTCCTCTTTGCCTCGGTCCCGCCGTTCAATGGCAACGCCGCTATTCCCAATGCAGCACAGCAACAGAAGGAGGAGGAGGAGGAGGAGGAGAAGGGAGCTGGCTGTTGCTCAGAAGCATGACAGGCGCTGTCTCTCAATGTTTGCAAGGCAACGGCAGCCGCCGCCGTTGCCGCTCCCTGCTTGAGCCCAGTTTGAAGCACGCGGGGCGGCGGGGAGGGAGGCTGAAAGGAAAGATTGCCGGGGGGTGGGGGGTAGGGGAGGATAGGAATGAGACCTCCCGATCCCCTTATGACCTTAGCTCTGCCCTAGACTTCGGGAACATCTTCCTTCTCACGCGCACACCCAGCCTCTCGCCTCGCTCCCCCCCCCCATTTTTTTTTTTAAATTTGCTTTCTTTTCTGAAATGGCACCTCGGCGACGCGTCCACCCCCGCCTGCGTCGCGGCGCAAAACCGTGAAGTTGAGAAGACTGTAGCGGTGCTTTTTGAGCGGGCTTGCACACAAGGACCTCGGGGGAGGTGGGGGAAGATATGTGAGAGAAAGGGGAAGTCGGCCCCAGACAGCGGCTGTTTTGGCTGGGCTGCTGCAAGAGAAGCAGCCGTCAGAGGGAAATGACGGGGGTGGTCTCGGTTGGCGGAAGGAAGGGTCCCCGGGTGCCGCCACCTGCTTGCTCTCCCAGGGGCACGTCAGGGAGCTTGGCTGGCTTCGCTCTTGCTACCTTCCTCCCCAACTAAAGAAGCGGCGGGGGCTTCCTTAGTCTTTGGGAAGTGGACGCCGGCTCGGGCGAGCGGCGGGGCGCTCTCTACTGCCGGCTGCTGGGCCTTTGTTGCAGAGGCAAGCTCAGGTAAAGGAAAGCAGGCAGGCGTGCCCATCAACGAATCAGGCCCCCTTCTTGATTAGCAGCCACCTCGGCCCGTGAAATAGAGAACACGTTGCTAAGTGTGGTTGCTTGCTCTTTATATTGCGCTTCTCATCCACCCCGCTGGATTTCTTTATCCATCCCTATTGACTGCAAATCTCTCTCTCTCTCTCTCGCTCTCTGTATATATATGTGCGTATATGTATATACACACACAGAGAGAGAGAGAAGGAAGGAAGGAAGGAAAGAAAAAGGAAAGAAAGAGAAAGAAAGAAGAAAGAAAAAAAGAAAGAGAGAGAAAGAAAGGAGGAAGGAAGAAAGAAAGAAGGAAGGAAGAAAGAAAGAGAAAACCGGCATCTTTTCTGGCATTTCTGTTTGAAAGGTCCCGTTGCCACGAAGCTGCTGAAGAGTATAAGGTTTCTGCCTGGGGGAGAATGCAAGTCTCATTCTAACAAAAGCAAATCTACTTCCCATCGGAAGGGAAAGGACACCTGGTTTTAAAAGAGTTACATTCAAGATTTCTTTAAGACTTGAGTCTATATACTACCCTATAATCTTTAACTGGATGAAATAGGACATCAGGGAACAATTTTTGAACCAAGGTACCTCAAATGGGCAAATTTGCAAAATATCTCCAAAATGACTCCCAAGGGAATGAAATTGGGGAAAGTTGTGCTAGCAGGGATTCAAGGGAGGGAGGGAGAGAAGTGGTGGCTATTGTCATCTAGTGATTCTCATTTTTTATGTTCTGGGACAGTTTCCCAGCCACTCTCACAATTCCTCCCTCACTCAGTCCCCACACAGCAGTCAATTACTTGCTTGCTGAGAAGGGAAGGGGGAGAGAAAGGAACCTCCATCAACCCTTCCTAGACTATGCGTACACACAGATATACACCTCCACTTGTGTGTCCCCAACATGCCCTACCTGACTTACACCTTGAAATGGGAAGATAGATTCATTTTATTGCAATTTATTTCATTTCAACTACAGAAACAACAATGGTAAAGGAAGATGAAAATATCCTTTTATGATGGATGCTGTGGCTATCGGCTTCATTTGGTTTATTGCAATCCTTTTTGTGGGAAAATTGTAGTTGGGTATTTAAGCATCTTAAGCATCTTAACAGTCATCAGGTAGCATTTACAAGCATTAGAAGTTGAGCTGAAGGGAAGAAAGAAAGGAGAACTTCTATCTGTTTTGTTCTGATCATTTTCTCAGCTTTCTCCAAGTATTACAAGTCACTACTGTATTTTAAAAGATAATTAAAACACTGTTACTTGCCCATTGTGACTAGAATGAGTCAATATCCATCTGATGGGTGTCAACAGATACTACAGCTTCTTCAGTATGTTCAAGAACAGAAGCTAAAAGGAGCAAAATGCTTTGGCAAGATTGAGCATCTCTCTCTCACTCATTTAAAGGCATATAGATCACCTGCCATGGAGAAATGGTTAAGGTATGAGACTAGAAACCAGGAGACTGTGAGTTCTAGTTCTGCAGACACAAAGCTATGTGGGTAATTGTGCACCAGTCACTCTTTCTCAACCCTAGGAAAAATGGAAGAACAAACTAAGAAAACTGCAAGGACTTGTCCAGGCAATTGCCAGGAGTAAAAAGGAAAAAAAGGAACTAGAAGACACTCAAGTACAAAGTTGATAGTATAGCGTCCTGTAGAATAGCATTTTTAAAATTATATTCTGTGGAACTTTAAATCTGCAAGAATTGGGTAAGATTCATGAGAGATTAAGGAGGAAACTTAAATAAAGTCAGTTTTCTATCACTAGAACTTTGCTCTTGACTGTTCTGGGATTCTCACCAAGTTTCTACAACCTGGAAAAGAAAACTCCTACTCTAGATCTTTTAAAAAAAACTGCATTTCCTATATATCCCAAACAGCACAGTGTGGTTGACAAACAATTGATGTTGTAATTCAGAAATATTGGGAAAACATATTGGAAAAGTCATATCTAAACTGGTTATTCTCAAGTGATAATATGGATACTGAAAGTGGGATTTAGATGCAGCCTGGATGGGACACAGGGTGAGGCATTAGAACTTTAACTGAACATTCGATTGAGTTTTCTTCTACACCAAGACTGGCACACAGAACTAATTTATTTCAGTGGTAGCAGATTCTTAGCTAGCTCCACAGACCACATTGTTTATTAAGAGATCACTCTGAAGAAATCTCTTTGAAAATCTGTATCATTACCATCACCCTTAGAGGATGTTGACTCTGATCAATGACAGACCATAATAGATTCTGATACATACATTGGTTTATGAAGTCCTTGTTTGTGGTCTTTTCATGTACTTTGGATTTCAGTGTTATCTTTTGTTTTCTAATTTATACAGTAAATAAATAAATCACCCAGTCAAAATTCTCGTGACATTTCAAAACAAAAGCATGAAATTTACCAGTTTCACTTGGTGCACATTGACATTTTTGTCCCGTTTTTGTAGCCCATGTACTGCAAAATTGAAATACCTTACTTGATCAGAATGCTAGTTTAATCTTGCAGCAACAGATCAAAAGATCCTATCTCTGAAGGCATGTTGGTTTCGGAAGCAAAAACCAAGGCCGCAGAGCACCTACAGAAAACTTACAAGTTACCTCTTCCACTAACATGTTATCCTCACCTTTTGCTTCTGATACTACAATGTGGGTTCACAGTATCAATTATTTTTATATGCCAATTCTGGATCATTATTATATGTTATCGTCTACCCTGGTATAGATTAGTTCAATTCGTTGGGAAATATTCAGTATATAAGATTAATTGGATGAAAAACCTTCCTTTCAGATCACTAGATCAATATAACATAGTATATGTTAAATTGTACATGTAACTATTTGTTGCATGCACAAATACATTAAATGTTTAGAATTAAAGACACCAAATACTTCTAAATATGTAGAAATGAATATGTCAAATGTCATAGATAAGATTTCTATGGATATTACAAATAGCCCTTGTTTATTGACATTCGTTCAGTGCCTGCTCAAAGTTAAAATGGCACTTAGAACTAGTCCTTGAAGTTCTAGTTGTCATAGCATCTTTGTGCTCATGTGGTCACAATATGGATGCCTGATAACCAGCTTGCACGTACAATGGTTGCAGCATACCGTGGTCACACGATCACCATTTGGGATCTTTCTTGTTAGATTTCCACAAGCAAAAGCAATGGCAGGGAAGGTGGAAAGTCATTCCTTTGGGCGAGAATGTGCAAATGGCTTGTTATGAAGGAAATCACTCATGGTTCCCTGCCCAGCACCAGCCTACCTAAGCCCCCCTGCATGTATCATAGGCCATGTATCCCCTGCCAGGCAGTAGCCATCTCTGGCTCTGCTATGCTCACTATGCCTTAATTATTTGCTGGCCTAATTGCAAGCCACCAGGGACTTATTTAACAACTTTCAATTCGTGCTTAATAATGGCAATCACGAGTGCTGGAATTGTCATCATTAAGCAATGTGGTCATGTGACATTGCTTTTTCTGACCACATTGCTTAGTGACAGAAATTCTATTCCTAGTTACTGTCATTAACTGAGAACCACCTGTAGTTGGTGGATTAAAATTCCATTTAATTGGTGGGTAAAATCAATATTAATGAAATTAATATTACTCCTCAATATAATTTTTAAGAGGTATCCTGGTGTTAATTCAAAATAGTTTTTTTTAAAATTCATATTGATCTAAGGAAATTTATATGACAAGACAGGCTGCCAAAAATTTTATTGGCTAAATTGGTACTATGTCACCAATTTTAATTTGGCAGACTTTTAAAAATATTGTGCATTTATTTGATTGTCTATATTTATGTGGAATGAGAATTTAACTGAATATCAATTGCTATGGATTCTATTCAAAAGTTATTATGTATCCCTGTTTAGATCTTGGCAATTACTCAGATCAATATAAGCCAAAGAAAAAACTTTTTTTCATTTCCTGTCTTACATGCAGCTAAACATGTTTAGGCCCTAAGGGAATGTAGATTGGATTTTGATGCTGGGTCTCATGAATATTTAATTTTATGGAAAAACACTGCTTTAAAAATAGGTGATAAGATAGTCTTTTGAAAGAACGGCCAAATACTAAAATAGACACATTAATTCAATTACTTTGTAATTATTGTTTTACAATTTTTCAACAATTAATGTGGACCTTTCTTTGCTTAATGCAAATCAATAGCAATATAATTAACTTAAGTGTGTTTTGATTTTTTAATATGCATCATATGCATTAACTTGAGATGCTATCATTTTTTAAAAATTGAATCTAGTTCTGAAATTATAACTGCGTTTGAAATTATGTGAGATATTGCAAATATCTTTAAAGCTCAAATTACTGATATTTTTGATTTA